ATATATATATTTTTTAAATTAAGGTCTTCGGGATATTCTATTGTTAATCGATAAGGTCAAAGTGATGCATATGTGACCTTTAAGAATTAAAATATTTATTTTAATTTGAAATATAAATATATATATATATTAGTTACATAGTAGTATATAAATGATTGTATGTATGACAAAATAAATATTTATATTTCAAATTTAGTAAAGAGGAAGATAACACATTTTCTTACTTTTAGTCATTATAATTTATGCCGAGATTACGATTCGCTCTTTCAATCAAATCTATTTTTCTTCTATGTTCCAGGCAATGGTAGCTTGTTATCCTGGTCACGGTTCGCATTACGTGAAACATGTGGATAATCCTAACCGAGATGGCCGTTGCATCACGGCCATTTATTATCTTAATCGGGATTGGGATATCAAGGTACAATTCTAGATATCCATGAATTAATATATGTCTATAATTATATTTACCACTTTATATACGAGGAAAGTACGTTTACTCATGTACGAGAAACTTCCGTGTTTTACAAATATCATAATATTTCAAGTAATTGATTATATATATATTAAGGCTGTATAAGGATTTGTAATAACGTACACTGATCTATATTCATAATCCATTAAATTGTCAAACAACTAACTCACCTTATCATTTAAGTAATTACAAAATTGACTTCCCTTTCGAGACACCATAGTCTATTATCTTGATGCGCGAATTAGGAATCTTTATAAGATCTTGCAAATATAGCACCGTTCTTGAAGCGAAAGAATAATGTAAGGCCCGATATAATAATTGTGTATAACGGCGGAATTTATAAATAATTGTATATTTGTTTTATTTCACACAGGAGAATGGCGGACTTTTGAGGATATTCCCAGAAGGGTGGCGCGATCAAGTAGCGGATATCGAACCTCTTTTCGATAGGATATTATTTTTCTGGTCTGACAGGCGGAATCCGCACGAAGTGCAACCAGCGTACAAAACGAGATACGCTATCACACTTTGGTATTTCGATGCCGAAGAAAGGAATCAGGCTTGCCGGAGATATCAAAGAGAAAGTGCGTAAACGATCGCATTGAGCATTTATTTCTTTACCCTTTCTCCGATACAAACTAGTCATTTTTACATAAAATTTTTAATAAAATATCAATGATTACAATGAAATTAATCCTCGGGATACCAAGATATATTTTATGATGTTAAGAAGAAATTAGATCTTGCTTCATTTTATTCTGCATATTGTTCATGTGTATTAGCTAAAATTATAATTTCAAGTGACAGCGTAGTAATTCTTCGCATTTCCATATCTTATGAACTGTATGTGAACTACATGAACACGTGCGATATCGTTCAAAGTTAAAAAGAACGTTATTAAGTTTCAATAGTTTTTTTTTTTTTTTTGTGAAAGTCGAATTCTAAAGTGTTGTGAAAAAGATAGCATTAAAAAGTTTCACAAAAGAAAACTCAGTTTTAAATTAATCGAAGAATATATAAGTGAAAGAAACAGCGCAGAAGAAACTTTATCAATGTAATTAAATGGTTTAAATAAATTTGGAGGGTATTTTTCTTCTAATTATTTGTTTTTCAACTTTGTCTTGTAAATATATATTTATATGTACTATTATTATATATACATAAACATTTTATTTGCGGCTACAGAAATTGTAATAACAACTGTACTTATAAATATATATGGTAACCTAGATCACAAATTTATTTTTTAGGAGAACTACATACGAAGAATGATAGTTCGTGAGACATAGAGTGCGAACAACTTATTACGCCGTCTGATCGGACTAAAAAATTAGTATTTAAAATTAATATTTTAAATATTATGTATTATTAATGTATTATAATAATTTTTGCAGGAGGAATTGAATAGCATACGAAAAAAATTATATCGGACAATGCGTGTTTACGAGGAAGTGCAATAGAAGTATAAGAGCGTAATTCTTCTTTCTTTCTTTTTTTTTTTTTTTTACAAATAGCACTGTAATATATGTGATGAATTAATGTGTGTAGTTGTTACAATTTACACTTATATATGTATAATCGTTTATTTCGATTTCAAAGATTCTATGTTCGCACTTTGCAATCAATATTCAAAATGTCTAATCTGCTTCATATATTTTGAGAAGAAAACTCATATACTTGTATCAGTCATGCATTTCTGTTATGTAAAATATATTAACAATCCTTAAAGCATGCTGCATGTGGAATATTTTAAGCAAAAAATATGTAAAATATAATGTACAAAATTTCTTCCAGAGATCCACTATTGCAAATATTATACATCTATTTTACATCCTGATCGTATTTCAAGCAAATTTATATCCCCATAATATTTATATGCGTAATATTTCTTAGCAATATTAATACAACTGCTGGTTGGTAAAGAAATTATATTGCTCACACACACAAAGATGTAATGTTAGTATTATCATGTTGTAATGTTACTATTAACGACTTTTTACGCTTACATAATGATCATATTTGGTTTACTATGGCCAGTAATTGACTTATGCTTCCAGTGCGACGAATTGAAATAAATTGAGAATCAGTCTGTACCTGTATAATGTTATGTACATTGCAAAGTGGTAGAGAAACGTTGTGTTTAATACTATATGTAGCTATTTATATGAATCGATAGGAAAGAGTAAGCGAGTGCGTACCATTCGTGTCCTATTTGGAAAGTCTGATGTAAGATTCTATTAGTCACTTAATTTAGGAAATACAAGAGAAGCGTATAGAGATAATTAGAAAGAGGTATTATACAGGGTGTCCCAAAAGTGGCCACCCCTTTTATCTTTTAAACTAAAAGAGATAGACCGTAATAAATATATATCAAATGAAATGGTTCAAACTGAACTCTCTTATGAGCATAGTGATTGCTTCCAAAAACTATCTGTGTTAAGGGGGCATACCCGTTTGAACCTTCGAAAAATGAGTACATTTTCTAGATTTTTTTTGCAGAGCAATGACTTGATAAAAATTTTGAATTTTTTTACAATATTAATACAATATTATTAATAATGATCATATTTGGTTTACTATGGCCAGTAATTGACTTATGCTTCCAGTGCGACGAATTGAAATAAATTGAGAATCAGTCTGTACCTGTATAATGTTATGTACATTGCAAAGTGGTAGAGAAACGTTGTGTTTAATACTATATGTAGCTATTTATATGAATCAATAGGAAAGAGTAAGCGAGTGCGTACCATTCGTGTCCTATTTGGAAAGTCTGATGTAAGATTCTATTAGTCACTTAATTTAGGAAATACAAGAGAAGCGTATAGAGATAATTAGAAAGAGGTATTATACAGGGTGTCCCAAAAGTGGCCACCCCCTTTTATCTTTTAAACTAAAAGAGATAGACCGTAATAAATATATATCAAATTAAATGGTTCAAACTGAACTCTCTTATGAGCATAGTGATTGCTTCCAAAAACTATCTGTGTTAAGGGGGCATACCCGTTTGAACCTTCGAAAAATGAGTACATTTTCTAGATTTTTTTGCAGCGCAACGATTTGATAAAAATTTTTTTTTACAATATTAATGCAATATTATTAAGTACTTAAATAAAAATTTTCAAACACTTTTATCATATCAAAATATCCATATTATTATAAAAAAATTATGCATACCTCTCGTTCGTTAACACAGATAGCTCTTTTGAAAACAACCATTATACTCACAATAGAGTTCAGTTTGAACGATTTAATTTGATATATATTTGTTACAATCTATCTCTTTTAGTTTAAAAAATAAAAGAGGGTGGCCACTTTTGGTGGGACATCCTGTATATTCATATAATATAATATAAATATTCCATCTCTTAAAAAATTATCACAAAGCTATTGCTTCTCAATATTTTCCGTTGTAATACTGTTGGACACAAAAAATTAATTGTAAGACAAAAAATAATTCCTCTCCATCATTTTCGTTTACCCTCCCTCCCTCCGAAGGCCTCCTCGTGTGACTAAATTATTTTTATTTCTTGGATTTAATTTAATTTGTTTTGTGTTTACATAGTACACAAAAGTTATGATTTAAGTGATCCATTTCAGACGCGTTTTCAAAGTATTGTAAAAATAAACAAGAGATTTTGTGTTATAAAAATAAAATAAATATATAAAATTATGAAAGACTAGCGTATCAACTGATCCAACATAGTAGTAGCGCTATGGATTATCAAATTGTCAAAATTTTTCAAACAATACTTATCTTTTCAAGAAACGTCGGTGTCGTTTGGTAGCTGACAATCTTGGATCTGATTGATAGCAGGCACATAAACTTGAAACGAGAAATTGTTTTTCGAAAACATTCCCGGATTTATCACATAACAATCTGAATAGTCTGTCGTGTATGTTCCAAAATTGTCAGCGATCACTATGAGATCTGGCGTTGGAAACACTTGTAGAGCATGATCGTATCTCCAATAGATCGGAACAACTTGGAGAGGCACAGGAGTCAAATGCGATTGGCTGATGATAGCTTTCGCAAACTAGAAAAAAATTTGTTCAATATTGATATTAAAAACCGTATTTTTGATAATAACTCATGAAACATGATCATACACTTACGTGTTTGAAGAAATGTTCCTCTTTCGGGAAACGAAGCGCGTTCCTGCACATCTTTGTCAACATATCTTCCCTCAATACCACGATCTCTTTTGTACAGTATTGTATTCTACACGGATTTGTGGTGAAAATAGCGTTTGGTACTATTTTCGTGACTTCCTCGATGATACACTTGGGTAAAGGAGGTTTCGGTAAAATCTTAGGCGAGCCTAGATCATGCGGTCCGGGTACGAAAACAAATTTAGAGGATTCCTTCACGTTCGCATACTGCGTTATTATATCGGTCAAATTTTTAAAACCCGTTATCAAAGCTTGCGCGCTAGTTATATTCGTGGGAAAACTCAAGAAATGACCGCATAATACGAAAGCTATAGGAGGATAATCCATGTAACCTTCCAGGACTGTTTTAAATTTTTGTAACACGTTCGGCATGTCTAGCCATAGTTCTGCTATGAATACTATCATTCCATCCGGGTCGTTCTCTTCGTGAACTTGTAACTTCTCGGACATTTTCAAAGACACATTATGCGGTCCACCAAATGTATTATTATCACCAAAATCTGATCGCATACTCTCCGATAATTCTATTGGCGGAAAGTTAATATTCTCTACATATAATACATCATCCTTATATACACCATTAACTATTACTATGCAGCCTTCCATAACGAAAGTATCCTGAAAATCGTAACGCAGGATAAGGAAGATAACTGGCTCCTGATTGCTGCTTCTGCCATATCCCAAAGATGTCTTATTCTATTGGGAAATATATATTCATATCATATAATGTTGTTAGAAGAATTTATCAAACATCAATACTCTGCGAGAACAAGAAAATATTTTATATGTATACATGGATCTGAGAATCAATTTTCGCAAATTTTTTTGAAAATTATTAAGTTTTGATAGCATTCTGAGATATTTCCATATTTTTACTAAAAATTTCTAAAAAAACTGCTAAAGCAAGGCCGGATATAATAAGATTTATTGTAAATAATTATCTATATTGTAAAGGATATTGTACTGCTTAAGTCGATTTTAATGGTTCCAGTTGTATCTTCCAAAGAATATTGATCTTCCACTAACTGCGTTATCAGACCCATTACACAAACTTTTCCCATTTTCAACTCGCTCAACAGATATTCAATAGGTATTATATTCGTTTTATCCATCTGCTGTTTCTCAAACTTAGAAGACTGAAATTGCTTATGCCTCAAAGTTTTGTACCATACCATTTCAAAACGATGTTTAAAAATCAGTGACTTGTATTGTGTTTCAGGATACAAGTTTTCATTGTCGATAATAAACTTTTTCTTGGAAATGTCATACTTAATTTTTGGTATATCATATCCACTAATAACATTAAATACTGTTTCAGTATTTTTCAATTTATTTGGTTCTACACATTCTTCTATGGCAAGTTTTATATGTTCGGCGCTAACGTGTGGATCATTCAAGTTTTGGGCTAGGACCAGCTCTATAATGCGATTCAGCCAAGATTCACGTTCATCTTCTGCTATTTTTAACAGCTGTTTTGCGAGAGATACTCTAAGTTCCCTGAAAAAAAAAAAAAACGTAAACAATAATAAATACATTCAATCATACATAAATGTAAATAATTTAAAAACACACTTGATATAAAAAGTAAATGAAGAAAATAATTACACAGATATATCTTGATTGTGCTATACACAGGTAATATTATCTCTTAACTTTTAAAAAATACAGAGTACTTACCTAGACAATACCAGACCGTATAAGGAAAAGTTAGTTTGAATCATTTGTGCACATTTATTGTCAGCCATCGTCGTTACACAAAAATACAAATTACTAAACTAATTATGAATAAAAATGCACATGAACTATATCAGGTAAAAGCTAATTATAGTTGATCGCTGGAAAAGAAGTCATTTTACATTATTTCTCACTGCACATTCACCGCAAAGGTTAAGAAAACTTTTTACCTATCTCCCATCTCGCGTCATTTTTCCCGCCTTTCGAATCTATAAAGGTTTGTTCTAAAATCTATTCGTTTGGTTGAGTATTACTCGATCGACTAATCAGGATAAAGGGAACAAAAATTGTTCTGATTGGTCGATCAAATGATACTCAATCGAATGAGTAGATTTTCGAACGCAACCAAAAACAACAAAGGCTTCTTTGTCCTGATTGGTCGATCAAGCAATACAAAATTTGCTGTGCGTGAGGTGAGATTGCGTACGGATGAATTTTGATCGGTTTTTTTAAAAGAGACCGATTCGGTTAGTATTAATTTGTTCAATTATCGCAAAAATCTGCGTATTGCTGGAGAATAATTATCTGCTTTGAATCAATTTACGAGTGCATTGTTCAAATACTTTTATTAATTGATATATATATAGGTTAGTATTATAGGTATTGAGTTTATCGGTAAAAATTATTAATGATATTATATATCTTGTTTTTTCTTCTCTTTTCTCGTATTTTTTTTCTATATTTTTGTTTATTTTTTATCACTAACGTTAATATTATTGTATTGCATAATTTGTTGCAATTTATTGTAAATCGTGCGCAAATATATTTACATTCGCGCGTAGTAAACAAAGAATCATTTTTTGATCAAATTGCTTGGATGTGTTTTATTTTATATATCTTGTACATTTAATATATGCATTAAAAGGAATCCTTCTTTATTTTTCAGGTATATTGTAGAACAAAAGTAAATGCAAACGCGTAATGCAAACAATTACTATCATATGACTTAAAATGCAGTCATCTAATGTGAAAAAGTCATGGATACAAAGGAATCCTACCTACTCTATCATGATACCACTAATCATAGGACTTCACATAGGTTGGTTTTCACTGCAACAACATTATGTACCGATGACTGAAAGACACGACCATCCTCTAACTAAATTGTATAAGAAATATATTACGTAAGAATGTAATATATATGAATCCTGTTTGTTGTTATTTATAATGTCGTTTATTTTTCTCTTTAAATTATATTGTTAAATAATAGATTTGTTCGTTTTTCCGCTATTGTTTCCTCCAAGATTTAGGTACTTCCATTATGGAACATTCTGTAGCTGAAGCAGCAATGTTACCTGTCTTTTGCTTGCAGAATATGATATAAAATAAATTTCTCTTATTTTATACAAAACTTTTATTGTAAGAGATATACATATGAATTGCACAAATTACTTCTATTTATAAACAAATCAAAATCTAAAAGAAGTCTTTAAACTTCATAAAGAAAAATGTGGGAATACAAATAAAAAGATAATAACAATCATTTTCATAGAATTCTATAAATTAACGTAAACATCCTTAAAAAACTTAGGAAAATATATGTACAATCACAGAATTAACCTCTTATAGTAGGTAGATGGTCAAAATTTTGTTGATGTATAGAGGAGCTCTTCGGCCGATTTTCACTGTGGCTATGAATAGAAGGACCAGCCTTGGGTAACTGGGGTAACACCATTTGACTGTAATTAGTATTCTGTAAACATGAGAGAACACACGTTATCTCAATCTCCTTTTCCTCCATAAATTATTCGCAAGATGTTCAGTAATATGTAATAAATCTGTCGCTTGTCGACAAATCTTAGATACTCTGTAGAAAATTCATTCTTGATATATTTTATTGTCCGACTTATATTTTCTGAATATTTCATCGCGCATTCAATCATTAAACTTACCCGAGAACGTTCTCGATACTTTTTAAGTTTTTCGAACTCTTCCGTCTCGACGTCCGGCATTTTGAAATGAAAATTGTCGAAGTAAGAATGTCGCAATAACTGTTCGCATGTCCATCTTTCATTCGGATCTTTATCCAAACATTTTTTCAGGAAATCCAACTATCGACAAAAGATATACACGACAATTATCACCAAAGGAGATAATTCTGAATATGATATATTATTTCTGATATATTTTATTAACACTTGATTTATACTAATTATTTCAGCCGATGAATACATCTAAACTTTTTATCGACAACAAATATACATATATGATATTTTCCTGAAATTTTGAGTAACTAACTGTTGAAAAAATTTTTTTATTTTACGATATATTTATTGGAACTTTTTTACTCAAAATTTCTGCTTGATATTAACTGACGTTTTTTTTATGTAGTTACACGTTTTACATTTTCTGTAATTAAAGCAAATTTATCGCTATTACCTGTACAGGACTATTATTTCCACGAGGTAAAGCGTCTTCGAGAGGCGTTAGGGTTTGCGGTGTTGGAAGAGTAATGCCGGTAAAGAATTCGTTCTGTTGAAAGATAGCCATATGTCTTGGTAAAAGATCGCCCAGCGTTCTTCTTATTAAATACAGCTGATCTACATCGGATTTTCCTGGCCACAATGCTTCACCCCGTATTAATTCCGCAAACACACAACCGATTGCCCATACATCGACCGGAGTGCCATATTGTGTGTCTCCGACCTGCTCCGGAAAACAGGTAATTAATCGCTATATACCATAATCAAATAAAAAAAATAAAAAATAAAAAATTTTTTAATGTTATATAAAGTTAAGAATCTCTTTACGTCCAACTTTTATTCTGCAAATATCTTAAGCAAGCAACGTGAAAAGTGTATATGTGATATTTACCAGTAATTCGGGTGCTCTGTACCATCTGGTCGCGACATATTCCGTATAATTTTCACCAGGACTGAGCATACGTGCGAATCCAAAGTCGCATAATTTTACCACGCCTTCGGCGGTAATGAGGATGTTTTCCGGCTTCACATCTCTATGAACGCATTCGAGGCGATGGCAATAAGCGATGCCCTGCAAAATCTGCCAAGTGATCTGCCTGGTCGTGAGATCTGGACAACCGCTAGGATACTTCTCCATCTCATTCAGAAGAGTGTTCTCGCAATATTCGAATACTAAATGTAACTTTCTCTTCCGTCTAAAGACTTCCAAAAGATTGACCAAGTTCGGATGCTTGAGATTCTGCAAAAGAGAAGCATTAATTTTCCCAATTTTGGATTTCGATTATACGAACGATTTCGATTATTAACTATGCGAAGAATTTACGCGGTAAATTAAAGTTGGTAGCCGAGCGATCAGTAGTCTTGGCGCGTCCCTGGAAACTTTTTTCTTTTATTTTTTAATTTTTTATGTTTAACCTCGATTCCAAAGTTTATATTGTATACATAATTTCACATATTCTTTGTATAAAGTATCGCGAAGAAATTTTAGAAAGCTCTGTGCTGTTAATTTTCAAAAGGACACTTTCATATATATATAGTATACTTTTGTCGAAGGGAACAGCCTTGAAGTAAAATGTCAAAACGTCGCGGAGCTTAGAGGGACCTATTTGAATGTGCATATGTTTGGCGGTGAACCTACGCTGATGATTGTAACGATAAAGTTAGGTCGGTAAAGACCGGAACACGCCAAGATATTGACCGCCGCCCGGTATTGACCGTTGGCTACTTCTCGCAGCCAGTGTTGCACTTGTGTATATGCGAGCTTCTTATCGCATAAATAAGAACGTAACTTCCTCTACACGTGAGCGTACCCCATTGTTCGGAGTACTTGCCGCTTCAGTTCTATCGTAGACGACGATCTCAAAAACGGTAGAAGAATTTTGTTAAATGTATAAAAATCAATCTTCTTAGTTACATTTCATAAAATCTGTCCACGAATTTTTTATTTCAATTATCGAATTCATATATTTCAAAATAAGGATATTATTTAAAAAAAAAAGAGTATGGAGTTTTTTAATGAATTTATCTACATCTAATAAATTTATTAATTCTTAGATGGTCGAAAATATCGAAACTGACCATCACTTTATCTATAGGTGAAAACTAGCGGTCGCGGATACATTAACGGAGGTCGTTCACCTCACACGAATGCGACCCTCGGCGGACTTAGTTATTCCGTGGATTGATCGATTCACGCGGAAAACTTTGAAAATTATGTCAGCAATTTTTATATTTAGTGATTTTTATATTACAGCAGAAATCTTACATACGGTATCCGTCATTAAACATTTTTAGCCAGTTTTACTAGCTTGACAGAAAAAATGCTAAATGTATTTTGATTTTTAATTGATAACTTACAAATCGCAATCATAAAAGATATTTTGCAATTATTATCATTTTATTATAAAAATCTAGATTATTTTGAGTTTTTTCAACGGAATGTTTTTCTTTTTCAATTATATCTCTTCATAACAGTTTTTTTACCATAAACAATTTTATTGATCCATAACTCGAAATTTTCATTAGTAGTCATTTAAATTTGAAAAAAAGTATTGCTTTATGGATACCTTATCGATTATTTTCAATTACTTTCTGATATTGCCTGATCGATTGCTTTCAATTGATATTTTGTGTCATAGAAGATGTCCCTTTAAATTCGCTTGAGTGGCGTTTATTAAAAAATAATGCAGTGATCATTAAAGAAAAGAACTGACCTTCAGCAGACGTATCTCCCGCAACGCGATTTTACGTATTAGAGGATCATCTTCGGTCTGCTGAAACTTCTTTACAGCCACCAATTTTCCAGTTTGTCGATCTCTACACTGGAAGACAACGCCGTAGCTACCCTCGCCGAGTCGTGCCAAACGTTCGTAACGCTCCATGGCTTTGCTCGGCGCCCGAGACCTGTGCAAAAATCATATTTCTCGCTATTATTAATAAATTTAAATAAAATTCAAACGCATTCAATGTTATTGTTATGAAAATAATATAGTACGGGCATATTAATTTTCGGAAAAAATTCGGTGCAAAAGTATATTATTTCATAATTCGAAAGTATTGACTCGATCAAAATCGTCACAATATTATATTTTATATTCGATATTTTCGAAAATTGAGATCTATTTAATTCCCTATCTGTAGCTAGGAATTTATTTAATTTTATCAAATAATTTTATGAAGAATGCAAATTTTATTTGATACAAACGATTTTTATGACTATTATTTTTGAGAGCACAAAATCGACAAACTTTTTTCGATGTTCTCGAATACCCACTTTTTATATTTGGCAAGGCATGGCAACGATGCCAATTGTTGGGTAAAGAGCATAGTATCACGAGGAACGGTACCAGTTAGACTGTCTCTATCCCGATGGATGACCAGGGGTCAAGCTGCCCCACAAGTTTTACTTTATTCAAACCTTACGCTTATAGCGCAGACGCGACAAACCAGACTTGTGAACGAGCGATTGCAATACCGGATCAAATTAATATCTATACGTATTAATGCTCTAAAATAGTACGATATTTCCGTATTTGTAATAGCGATATTGCAATCGTTATCCGATATCAACCGAATAATAGGTTTATTTTCCATGAAAAAGCTATTATAATAAAAACTTGATAGAATCTTATATGTAATAGAAATTGGGAAGGAAAAATTTGCTCAATGAAATGAATACTTTTTAACATTTGATACACAATCGGAGAAGGTATGGATTTTTCACAATTTCACGGACTAGCATGACTGAATAAATTTTTTATAGGAATGTGTTATTTCAGTTATGATAAAATTAATAAAGAACTATTACATGTTTTTTAAAATTCTTTATTCTATTGTATATGAAAAAATAAATTTCAAGTGTAGAATAGAATTTTTCTTAGGAATTTTTTAAGGAATTTTTGTCAAGAAAATTGATTTAAAAAATCAGAATACTTTATCTTTTATAAAATAATATTTCTATTTTCATTCACATAAGCTTGCATAATTTTTAATTGTCTCGCGATATACGTAAACTGTCTGACGTATCTCAACAGTGGCTATCCGAAATAAGTACAAAGCAATATTGTTTCTTTTAAATATCATACTCACTCAACAATTTAAAAAATACATTAACGGCTATTAATCACCATTTTAAATAATTAATGTAAATAATTAAACAATAATACTTTGTATCTACTAATTGGAATTATTGTTACCAGTTCTGATACATATTTTGCGAAATAATATTGAAATTAATTAGGTCGAAATCATCGAAGATTCTGATAAGAATAAGGCCGCGAATTTGTTTGTGATATTTTTATATACGAATATTTATTTTGTCATATAATTTATTTTAATATTATTTTTATGAAACAAGTGTATATTGACTGGATTGTATTATGTTTAATATACATCTTGATCTGCTCTACAATTATTTGGGGAGGTTACTGGCCGAATTAAAGATCTCTTACCACTGTGGTATGCATTGTCGACAGTTCGCGAACCTTATGTCGTTTATCATATTGACGTGATCGCGTACGTATTATATACCATAATTTCGGATAAGGTAAACTGTATGTATTAATTTTGAAAATTAATTTATGCATTCGGATGCGTGCTTTGAAAGTAAATCGACAAACAGGACGCAGCTATGCCAGGTTATTAAGAAGTATGAATCGTTAAACAGCTAAATTCACGAAAGCGTGCTTTGTTTTATTAAAAGTTATATACGAATATTTATTTTGTCATATAATTTATTTTAATATTATTTTTATGAAACAAGTGTATATTGACTGGATTGTATTATGTTTAATATACATCTTGATCTGCTCTACAATTATTTGGGGAGGTTACTGGCCGAATTAAAGATCTCTTACCACTGTGGTATGCATTGTCGACAGTTCGCGAACCTTATGTCGTTTATCATATTGACGTGATCGCGTACGTATTATATACCATAATTTCGGATAAGGTAAACTGTATGTATTAATTTTGAAAATTAATTTATGCATTCGGATGCGTGCTTTGAAAGTAAATCGACAAACAGGACGCAGCTATGCCAGGTTATTAAGAAGTATGAATCGTTAAACAGCTAAATTCACGAAAGCGTGCTTTGTTTTATTAAAAGTTACAATTATAATATACAGAATTTTAGTTATTTTTATTTTCAAAAATAATCTAAAAAAAATAGTTGAATTATTGAATAAATAATTTTCACTATACTGATTTCTTGTATTTCAAAAAGACGTTTCACTTTTAGAATATTGTATGTATGTTCGTTGGTCAAAATTATTTAAAACTTAAAAAAAGTGAAATATTATAGTATTCTTTTATTTTTTTTTTTATTTTTTACGAAAAATGTGAAAATGCAAACACACACTCACACTTAAACATAAATCATTTAATCGTATTTAACTTGTGTACAATATATGATTATTTTTTTCGAGAAGCTTTAATTAATTAGACGCAACCCATACAGCACAGAACATTGTAACAACATTGCAACAACATTGCAACTTTGTAGCAACATTGCGGCAATGTTGCAAATGTTGCTGCAATGTTCTGTGCTGTATGGAAAAATATTAAAAAGTTAAAAAACGGAAAAATTATTTATTTAATATTATATATCAATCTTCATTTTATATTCATACTAAAATCTTTGTCTTACAAATGCATTTTGCAATATATTGTAATCTTAACATTTTACGTAATTAAATCTCGAAGATTAATCCATACTTGTCAGAATAAATTATGTGATTAAAAAAATAAATTAGTAAATAATAAATATAAACTTATCTACATAATTTTTAAATTTTTCATATTTTAAAGATTCGATTAAAGAATTGTAATTCGATTCGGCGTATAACATTCAGTGAGTATATGACAAGCTTGATGTTTCTCGATAAAAAGAGAGAGAAAAAGAAAGAGAAAGAAGTAAAAAAGCAATTAATACGTACAAAAACCCAAGAATAGAATTCATGAAATACTTTTGCCAGGTCACCCTCGTCGGCGAACATACCGGATAGTACTAATACGCTGAAGAAACGTCGCTTTACATTATTGTTCAACTCTTGATTATTGACAATCGATATTACGTTCCGACTACGCGTTTATATATCCTGACCGTGAAAGAGGTCGAAATGTTTCTGATTGTTGGACAAACTCTCTCTATAGCGGCTATAGTTACGCAATGTAAAGCACGAAAACATCCGGGAGATGTATAAGATTTTTGGATGATCCGTGACAAGAAATGTAAATAGCTATCGCTATTCGCGACTTTTCTTATTCGCGTTTAATTTAACTGAGTAAATAATTTATTCCTCTTTGTTTACAATATCTTACGAATGTATATTAGAAAATTTCATAGATTAAAAAATAGAAAGAGAGTGGAGCAAAAATAAAGGAATAAAGTATTCTTTATGAAATTATTATTATTATTTCAGTAAAAGACTGAGAAAAGTAATATGAAAATAATCTTTCTGTTCTCATAATATAGAGAGAATACAGATATAAAATACTGTATTTTAGTAAATAATTGGAAAAATTTAAATATTAAAATGCGACTAGCGAAACCGAAAAATATATTTTTCAAAATTATCGAAAAAAGATTTCTTTTTTATTTTCTATCTGTTACTTACGAAACGATAAATTTAATTTATAAATTTATTTTTCTATATATGAGAGATATTAACAAAATTGTAGTAAAGTTTATTGTTAACTGTACGAAACGATTCTTCATATTACATATGTAATGTCAATTTTAGTTTAACCATGACAAAAGATTATCATTGTTTATAGCTTGTATAAGAAACATTTTTTATGTTAACGAAATGCATAGCCTAAACCTAAACATTTCGTATATGTTTTCAAAAAATATAATTCAATATAATGAATATAATCCGGAATAAAATCTTTCAACCGTATTGAATTGAAATTATTCGAGACGTCTTTTTTGAACCTCATAAGAATCGTAGGACAATTGTCTTTTTCGGAATTAAAAGGCTGTTGGAGAATCGATCCTAATGAACTAAATGTCAAATGATCAAAAAGCCCAAATACTATATTTTGACATTAATAATACAATTACTAAAATTCGACATTAGAATAAATTTTTGAAAAACGTCAGATAATTATCGAAAGATGCATTTGAAAAGGGAGATGTTTTAATCGATTCGAGCATGAAATTAGAGATGTGCTTTTCGTTTGACATTAATGTTTACCTCCTTGGTAGCAACGGCAGAGTGCTACCGAATAGCCAGAGCTTCCTATCTTGGAGCCATTTGTCCATTCGAAGGCTTCTTCACAGAAATTTCACGTTACAAATAAAATAATATTCATGCTGCAACCTGACGAACAATATTGCGACCATCGTGGATTCGATAAGTCGCGTCGTCATTGTTGACACAGTCTATTGCCGAACCAGCGTTACTTTGATAGAGAAACGCGCGTCCTTTTGCCTGAAAGCACGTCGACCGACTGATCGATAATCCTTTGAACCGACCCTTTTGATATCTGCCGCACCTGCTTTACCTAATTTTACTGATTTGCATATGCTGGAAAACAGCAACATAAGTCGCTCGAGATAGCATCGAATCTCTCAAAATATATTTGATATATAAAAATAATCCGTATAATTTTATAGATAAAGTGCTAGACAATTATTATGCTTTCTAATATTGTTTCTGCTAAAAAGTAACATTTATATTATAGATTATTATAATATAAGATTATTCATTATAGGGATAAACTATATATTTAATATTTTTGTACTATTTTTATATCAATTTTTAGGATATACATTGGAAAACATACAAAAAGATATATTATAATTAATACTGACAATGAGTCATTCATTCACATTTTATTTAGAATATATCATTTTACATATACCTAGAAAATAGAAGAGAGAAAAAGAAAAATATGAATCAGATGTATATTTTATTATAAATAAAAACTTGTTGTTTAATTTTATATATAATGTATTAAAAAATTTTATTCTGTCTGGCAGTTTTGAGATGTATTTCTTATATTATTGTTGTGCGTCAAGCAAATTTTTCTGAGAAGAATTATTGGATTTAAGGAAAAAAAAGATATCAAAGTTTTTTTATAATTGACAAAAAATATCTAAAATAGAAAACTTTTTTATGAAAGAATAAAACAAAATTATTCGCATGGCAACAATTCTCTACATTTTTTATAAAGTAGAGAACGTAAAGTCCACTGCTTTTGAAAGCATATTTCTTTTCCTACACACAAAACTCAATTCTCGACATATACTTTTTTTTTTTAACTTCTGTTTTTCTCGCAAGTTATTAATCATTCATTAATCATCAGATTAGGAGAAGAAGTCTATCTGAAAAATGTTTACACACTCTTTGCATTTCTTCGTATGCAGGATGATTTGGATTTCTCATCGTCTTGCGTTTCGCCTCTTACAGTGAATGTAACAAAATATTTTTTGGTACGATCTAACTTCTCAGTCGGAAG